GATCTCAACTGTAATGCAGCGTCTCAGTATATAGTGAGCTGTAGCTCGCGGTATACTGAGCTTCGGGTGACGGGAGGACGCTACTTTACCCTGGGGAAAACTATGGGGAAAAACACTGACCCCATAGTTCTCCTCTAACTTTGCCATTTTGGATTATTTAATTTGGATTTGGATTTGCATTAATTTTGGATTGTTGTACATTAAAAAAAATAAGACCTAGTGTGGGTTTTTTTTTAGCCCAAAAAAATATAAGGCAGTGTCTTATTTTCGGGGAGACACGGTATATATTATGCTAGGTCTACGTTTAGTGACTGCCAATGCCCCCCTCCACCACCACCACCAACACACACAGATGGGAACTTTATATAATCTGATCCAACTTAAAACCCAAATCACTAAACTGTCATTGAATCTTGAGTGCCCATGTACACTCCCTCATTGCGGTAACACATGCAACACGCGTTGTGGTGCCAACGCACAGCAACAAACACTAGTATGATTTTTAACCCCGTTAGGGTGTGCTGGCAGTCGAATCGTTTTGAAATGGCTGCCTTACTACAAAGCACAAAAGGCGGGGCATAATGGGCGTTAGGGCACCACAAAGAAGTCACTGGGCCCTTAATAAGTTCAGAATAAAAATGGCAACAAGTCAGATCAATGTGAACCTAACAAGTAAGATGCACATGGGCAGGGCATTTCCCATGCAAAAAAGTACCCCCTGTGCACTCTCCAGCAAGTCAACAAGAAAATCTAAAATTCTTCAACAATTTCACAATTTGTTGCAAGTATATGTAAAGCCGCACCGCCGTGTCAAGGCACCTCTGCATGTTGTGGCCCCCGACTCCAGTCCAAGGCCTTGTTTACCTCAGGCTTTTGCAATGTGTTTACAGAGCCTAAATAAAAACTTTGTTGGACTATACAGTACAATTCAGCTCCAGTTTGGGGAGGTTAAGCGTTAAGGTTGCCATCTTTTCTTCAAGCGAAACCTGAACACACTCTAGTGACGCGCTGACTTTTTTTGGGGAGAATGAGTCGTGGCTTATGCATATGTAAATAGCGCCGCCCATTTATATGTAACTATCACAGTTGAGACTATTTTTAGTGGGGGGCCAGTAGCCCCAATCTTAATTTTTTCAGGTGGTCAGTGGGGCTCTCAGGTGGTCAGAGGGGCTCTCAGGTGGTTCTGGCTCTCAGTAGCTATTTCAGGCTCTCAGGTGGCTAGTGTGGGCTTTGTAAGAGCTGGGGGGGGGACTCTTCTTCACAAGCCTTGGGGCGTTGTTTGTGGGGGGTCTGCGGGCAGGGGGCTTATTCACATCAGGGTACACCTTTAACAAAGGGGCACCCAGATGCTTCCCCCCCTTGTGAATGAGTAAGGGGTACTTGTAACCTAAAGGGTTAAATACAATTGTAAATACAAGTGTTGTCCACGACGACGACTCGACGAAATAAAAAATAAAACAATAAAAAATAAATAGAAATATTTTTTTTTTTAAACCCAACGACCGCCGTCCCGTCGCTGCGGTGAACACCCACCACAGAATGCCATTTTGACAGATGTCGGTAACATATAAACATTTGGGTGGAGCTAGCAGTGACAGCTAGTTCCGCCCAACTGTTTACAGTTTTAACAGGGTGAGCCATGATTGGGCAGAGTCATCATGACTCTGCCCAACCATGGCTCTCACTGTTCCCTGTGCCCTGATTGGACAAAGTCTTGCATCTGACCTGTGGTCAGGAGCAAGGCTTTAGCCAATCAGGGCTCACAAGGCACAGTGCGCCGAACACACAAACTGCCGATGTTCGAGTTGAACTCACGTTTGGCCCAAACATCGAGCCCAGCCCTAGTTTTCAGGCTCAAGGACAGGTCATATTAGGGCAGGATATGTTGAGGCAGGAGGGCAGGATATATTGGGCAGTAGGGCAAGGTATGTTGAGGTAGGAGGGCAGGATATATTGGGCAGGAGGGCAAGGTATGTTGAGGTAGGAGGGCAGGATATATTGGGCAGGAGGGCAAGGTATGTTGAGGTAGGAGGGCAGGATATATTGGGCAGGAGGGCAAGGTATGTTGAGGTAGGAGGGCAGGATATATTGAAGTATATATTGAGGCAGAAGGGCAGGAAATATTGAGGCAGGAGGCAGGATATATTGGGCAGGAGGGCAAGGTATGTTGAGGCAGGAGGGCAGTATATATTGAGGCAGAAGGGCAGGAAATATTGAGGCAGGAGGCAGGATATATTGGGCAGGAGGGCAAGGTATGTTGAGGCAGGAGGGCAGTATATATTGAGGCAGAAGGGCAGGAAATATTGAGGCAGGAGGCAGGATATATTGGGCAGGAGGGCAAGGTATGTTGAGGCAGGAGCGCAGGGTATATTAAGGCAGGAGGGCAGGATATATTGAGGCAGGAGGGCAGGGTAAATTGAGGCAGGAGGGCAGGGTAAATTGTGGCATGAGCGCAGGGTGTATAGAGGCAGAGAGGCAACATGTTTTTAGCCAGGAGGGCAAAGTGTATGAAGGCAGCAGAGTCGGTTTACAAAGGCAGGGCGTCAGAATGTATTAAAGAAGGAGGATAGAATGTATTGAGGCATCATTTATTTTATATGCATCCCTGGAGGACAGGAGTTGGTCATGAGTTGGCCTTGAGATGTATAATTAACACCATCACCCTCTGGCATTGTGCTAATTTGGATCATCCAGGAGAATGAATTAATTTTAATGGTGAGAAGTAACACTTGGCTGGCTGTTGCCATCTCGTGGTCTATTGCAGACACTTGGCTGACTGTTGCCATCTCGGGGTCTATTGCAGACACTTGGCTGACTGTTGCCATCTCGTGGTCTATTGCAGACTCTTGGCTGACTGTTGCCATCTTGTGGTCTATTGCAGACTCTTGGCTGACTGTTGCCGTCTCGTGGTCTATTGCAGACTCAGCAAAAAAAAACGAATTTCCCCAATGTATATATTCAAAAAACTAAAATATTCGTTTTTTGAATATATACATTCTTTTCGTTACTATTTAAAGTACCGGACTGGTTTCCGGTTAAAAGAATAGGCCCTGCGGGGACACACACGAACACATGATTTTGTCGAGACAGTTCTCATGTGTTACTAATTGATGTAATGATGTTCGATTTACTTAAATAGTAGAATCAAAACCTGTGCTAAACAACTCCCTTCTGATGAAGCCCCGGTGTGGGAGTGGGTGAAACGCGTCATAGGCGTTTAGTAGAGGTTCTTTTTATGTGGCTGCATCGTTGGAGGCCGCCCTGTGATTTGCCTGATATACCCTTTTATGGGTCACTTCTACCCTACATATTGAACCACCAGAACAATACTGGATGTCCGTTTATGGAGAACAGAGGACAAAGACGCTGCGGCTTCAGTAAAGGCTTATATCTGTTAAAAAGCCGAGGTGAGGTTATCTCCTGAATCCACCACAGCTATCATTACAGCTCTTGCTATATCTGATGACTACACCTTTTTGGATCCCTGTATCACTGTTTAAGAAAGAGGATATCGAATCACTCCACAGTGATCCAGCAAGGAAAATCTTTTCCACCTTCATGTTATCCTATGATCTGGATTCAAAATTCCATGGAATCTACATTGGAGTTCAGTTAAGGCATTGATTTACAGCAACCAGCTCAAAAGCCGAGATATAGCTATATCTCCTGAACTACCTACTTTCTGCAAAACAGATCCAGTCGGAGTAGCAGTAACATCATTATTTCTCTTCAAACCGGATAAAAAAACAAGGACATATCTCATTGTGAGTTAACATCCATCTTTTTTATTACACATTGATGATGACTGTTCGTTTTTTCTCCCTTTTTTCTTTTTCTTCAATATACATTTTTTGAATACAGACCTTTTTTCGCACATATACGGACACTCTCTCCCAAGTCAATAATTTTGAATATTAGGGAAAATGTTTTGCTCATACCGGTTAATACGATTATATATACTATCAAATTAAGGCCTCTCCAGGGCATGCCCTTACTTTCTGTTTTCCACAGCATTGTTTAATATCTTTAACAGAATGCAGCCATATATAAATGTTGGTCTATGTCTTGTTGCTATCCTTTGATATATTTGTTATATATTTTAAAATTCTTACAATAAATATATATTTTTTAAAATATTTTTGCGTACACTTTGAAAGAATGGTGGGATCCCCTTCTGGGGAAATTCGTATGTTTTGCTATTATATTAAAACAGGGGACCGGCCTTCACTACACTGTATAAGGTTTATACCTTACAAAACCTTCCTATCCCCTTATTTACATCTATTGCAGACTCTTGGCTGGCTGTTGCCATCTCGTGGTCTATTGCAGACTCGCAGTTCTTTATGTTGATTTTTCGGTAATGCAGAGCGATGGTGTGACAGGGTACCATTGGGATAGGAAATGTCAGGAGATCTTGCTGACAGGGACACAGACACACATAAGAACCCTTATTACTTTTTCCAAAATTAAAATAAAATAGTTTTAACTGGAGTTGAGCTTTAAGCTTAATAAAAATATATTTTAGGGCTTGAGTGTCTATGCTGCCTAGGGGCAATACCGGGCACCTTAACTCCGCAGGGATTTCACTCATAAACTGGATTACACAATAGATGTATGGCAGACTGTACTTTGTGCTTAAATATCTGCACTGCAACCACATGTATGAGATTTCCATTCACTTCCCGTTGTGTCTCCAGGACAGGAAGTGAGATTTCCCCAATTGGCCCCAAAAAACAACTTTACATGTTAATTGAGATGTTTAAGACTATTGGGAGACTTTTTGTTGGTGGGAGTTCTGTTTTGAAGTAAGTCTTTCTTGAAGTGACTTGAAGTATTGAAGCCAGGCGGGCCCCATAATAGCCAGGTGACTAGCACAGGTAGAATGAGATTTCAGGGGAGTTGGACGAATCCTCTTTGTTTTATAATGTAGAGTATTTGTACGTATTCTGTTTTTCCTCTCCATGCGATGCTTGCATGTCTCTGCATGTGTTCCAGGGCTTGCCAATGCACTTCCTGATCCCCTGCAGGCACTGACACCGGAGCTGAACATTCACACACCAGCAACATGCTCTTATTTTACTACATACATACTTTTCTTATAACTACAACTATTTTCTTACAAGGTAAGGAAACTAATTTGAGTTCATTCTCCCAAAATCTGTTCATGGTTCTTTATGTATCTCTGTACTTTCTCTGGTTCTTTATGGATCTCTGTACTTTGTCTGGTTCTGTAGGCTCTCTGTGTCATGTCTGGTTCTGTAGGCTCTCTGTGTCAAATCTGGTTCTGTAGGTTCTCTGTGCTGTGCCTTGTTCTGTAGGCTCTCTGTAGTGTGTCTGGTTCTGTAGGCTCTCTGTGTCAAGTCTGGTTCTGTAGGCACTCTGTGTCATGTCTGGGTCTGCAGGTTCCCTGTGCTGTGCCTTGTTCTGTAGGCTCTCTGTACTGTGTCTGGTTCTGTAGGTTCTCTGTGCCGTGTCTGGTTCTGTAGGTTATCTGTGCTGTGCCTTGTTCTGTAAGCTCTCTGTGTCATGTCTGGACCTGTAGTTTCTCTGTGCTGTGCCTTGTTCTGTAAGCTCTCTGTGTTATGTCTGGTTCTGTGGGTTCTCTGTGCTTTGACCTTGTTCTGTAAGCTCTCTGTGTTATGTCTGGTTCTGTAGGTTCTCTGTGCTGTGTCTGGTTCTGTAGGTTCTCTGTGCTGTGCCTTGTTCTGTAGGCTCTCTGTACTGTGTCTGGATCTGTAGTTTCTCTGCGCTGTCCTTTGTTCTGTAGGTTCTGTGTCGTGTCTGGTTCTGTAGGTTCTCTGTGCTGTGCCTTGTTCTGTAGGTTCTCTGTGCTGTGCCTTGTTCTGTAGGCTCTCTGTACTGTGTCTGGATCTGTAGTTTATCTGCACTGTCCCCTGTTCTGTAGGTTCTGTAATCAGCTTTTTTTTAGCTGATTACAGAACCTATCACCAAGGAGTGATTTGCTTTAACATGAAACTTGTCTTCTTTTTCCTGTTAGGAAGCCACTGTGAAAACAGTAGACCATTTCTCAAATACTATGAGACGCTATCATACGACAGGACGAGGCTTCTTCAAAGTCATCAGCGATCCAAAAGAGCTACGAATGAAGAGAAAACAATAGTAACTCTGGATCTTGCAGCCTATAAACGGTATTGGTTTATTGGAAACACGGCTTCATTCTGGTTGGATTACTCATTTGGTGCAGCATTTGACCTTTTTTAGTGTGTGCGGTTCCATCAGCTCGCTCTTCTAAAGCTGAAAATATCGCAGAATCAGACTATTAGATCAACATAGGCTGGCAACACATTGTTATCATACAGTTATCATCTGATTGTACAATCTCCATTAGCTTGATCAACAACTATACAATAGTGATCAAGAACTACAGTAGTGCAGGAGACCTCCTGATTGGATATAACCTGGACGGATTTTTAGGTAGACACTTGCAGTGGCGTAACAATAGCCATAGCGACCCAGGCGGCCGCTATTGGGCCCGGGCACAGGGGGGCCCGGCCAGGACACCCCCGTGATGCCGTGCGGGCTGCCTGGGTCGCTATGGGTTCGAACGCGCCGCTGTTCAGATCACCGTGATCTGTGCAGCACTGCGTTCTTCTCTATAGCCGTTGCTGAGTCAATGCGAGTCAGCAGCGGCGGTGGAGGAGGCTGGACGTGGCGGGGAGGAGGAGGAGGCGGGGCCCGGGGGTCAGCATCAGAAGAGGCGGGGCCGGTGATGGAGGAGGCGGGCCCTGCGACGGAGGACGGAGCGGGCCTGGCGACGGAGGAGGGAAGACGGAGGAAGAAGAGG